AATATAGGCTAGACAGGGCCTAATGTAAGTGGGAAACGCTGCAGTAATTGCATAACGGCGGGCCTGAAGCCATTTTTGGAACAGTTTGTGTTTGTATTCTATTATTTTCTTCAGTAGGCCTACATTGCATTGGTAGGTATGTCTTAAATTTAAACCTATAGCAGATAATCTGCCGTCCCCGTCGCTCTGTCGATCTAGTAGGGGACTCCCAGTTTTGCCACTAAATATTTAAGATTTCAATGCATATCAATGTTATGTGCTCTCACTTATCTATTCCGAAACTGCTGTGCGACACCCCCCCCCCCTTTGAAAAATTCTGGATCCGCCCCTGGGCCCTTACAATTGGATCCGCTCTGGTAACCAGCTGGACCTGCTCAGATGAACGTCAGCGGCGATGCCGCCTGTCGCCTCCCTGCTGACCACACCGAATCAAAGCGATTATGCGTTTAATCACAGATCCTATAATAGAATCTGTGGTTTAATCTTCAGAATCATTTTACTCGCTAAATGTCAACAAGCTGTGACCTTACTATTGCACCAGTTGAATGTGCAAATTATACAGACCAATGGGCCAGACTAAAATAACAGAAGTTCCTAACAAACAGAAATCCGGTACAGTATAGAATGAACTGTCATAAGAGATCTTCATTAACATAACAATAGTCCAAGCTAAAGTACAGAGTAAAGCAAAGAGTGGTCACAAGAGCTAACAGACCCCTTAAAATCTGGGGTGGAGGGGGTGGATTAAACGGAGAAAACCATATAATTAGACAAGTAAAAAGTCTTTAATACAACCAAAGAACTAATACAACTAAATATAAAATATAATTACTTAGTTGACATAATGTATATCAACACATTTAAGTCATTGTAATATCAGCTGAGACAATAATGTCTCAGGCTCCAGTAATCCAGATACACCGACCATTCCAAATACATGATCCGATTGTGCAGTCAAAATAGAGGTCTTCCTCCAATTAAATAACACTATTGGGACCAGAGGGTTTCCATGGTTTGGTTCTTGAAAATAGAATAATAAATATAAGACATGTTATATAGGACTACAGAAAAGTGTTTTTTAATTGGAGGTGGTCTTATGATTTGAGTGGTATTAAATTAGAGAGAGACCTGTCTGCCTAAACTGTACGTCAGATGGTCAGATTAAGTAAATAATGGCTTAGGACGGTAATGGCTTAGTACGGTAATTTTATCTTTTGTGCGGCCAAGTCTAGTGTGACCCATAAACGGAAAGAAAGTGACATAACACGTACATGGAGGTACTGATGTATTACTGAACAATAATAAAGTTGCATACCTTTCATTAAATCGATCACCTTGGCCTCATGATCTATTTTGTTCAGTCGGCAAAACAGCACGATTGCACGACTCGGCTGCGATAAGGGGTGGTAATATAAAGTTATAGGCATGGCTGCAACGCAACGTAACGAGATCGAGGTTTTTCCTTGCCTGGGTGCGGTTAGGTTTTAAGGGCCACTACGAACATTATTTAAATATCATGAATATTCACTATCTGTGTCTATTAACAGCGTAATAATAAATCATTGAGCTACACCACCGTAGCATAAAAAGAATGGTTATTGTGTTTTTTGTTGTGTCTTGACGTTTCGATTGAGTTGCTTCATAGTCGCCAGGAGAATATACTACTATGTAGAGAGAATAAACTATTCTTCTGATGAATAGGTGTCGTACTGCATTTATTACTGTTGTGAGAGCGAATAACTGGATTAAAAATTATTTTAAATGTTTGTCTTATGCAGCAGGAGGAATGTGGTGTCTTGTACCCATTCATGCTTGTATTTTTGTGTTTTATCTGTTTATGTATTTCCTGTAACCTGCTGTAACTTAATGTTTTTTTGATCCGTGCAAAACACGTCAAGTAGGGCAAAACATCACTCCTATGATAATTTCCTGACCCAAACTCATATCGAAAAAGCATTTGCTGTACCCGCTGCTACTCGGATTCAACACTAGTTACTAAGCACAAGTTCGGTAGTCTATTGGTTACGGTGCCAGGCTAGTTATCTGGAGGTCGTATGTTCGTATGTGCCAGTTGTACAGTATTTTGATCAATAAACAGATGGTTCTTTTTTCTTAGTTAAAAACAGCCTTTTCAATTCTATAGTGTGCAATGTGATATTGTTTAGACATGCATGACATTGAATAAAAGAATGAGTAGTAAACGCCCGTAAAGTATACTGCTTTATTTGAAATTTTCGAAAATCTCGCACTTGCTACAATGTAGGCCCTATTATCATATTATATCATAATTACTATGTTACAGTTAAGTAGGTCTAGAGGTCAATATGATTTAAGTACTAAGTTAATATGTTAATGTATGGAATCTTGATTATTAGGAATTAAAAAACGGTTAAAACATACATAAAATTTATGTATGTCTAAAAACATAATATCATAATAGTATTATGATGAAAGTTACGCCTGATTAACGTCTGTTGTTTTAGTAATTAACAAGTTTGGTTCGTTTTTACCCTTTCAAGTTATTTCACAGTTAATATTTTAGAAAATAGGCCTACTAGGCCTACGGCGCATATCTACCATTGTACAGGATGTCACGTCGTATTTTGTAATAATTGTCTAGATTCTCTACATGACCCGGAATAGGCATATTAGGATTTTAGTTGTCAATATAGATTGTATTTGTATTTCTGCAGTATTTACAAAATACAAATTTAATTTTTATTTCTCGTTTTTTCTTCTTTTTTTCAATTCCTCTGTTTCACCTCACTAGATAGTGTTGTTTGTTCTAGGTTAGGAGGCACCAGATCCCAGAAAAGATCAAGACTTAACCGATGCTAACCAGAGTACATAAACACAGATCTTCGGTTGGCGGTGATGGTGTAACCCCCATACTTCGGTTTGGGTGCTAGCTTGGTTTTTATTGTTTTGTTTTTTTTCCCCGGCTTTTTTTCTTTGTTTTCTTGACTTCAATATTGTCTAGCGCATAGAGACCTCGTTTATTTGCGCTATATAAATTCATTTATTATTATTATTATTATTATTATTATTATTATTATTATTATTATTATTATTATTATTATTATTATTATTGAATGCATCTCTTGAGTACTTTCGTCTAGCCTCGTATCACTTCGGTGGAATTTTAATGTGCAAGCTATGCTTGTTCGCACGTCATCTTCAACTGCTTGTTCATTTCGTCATAGTCTGGGTTGAGGATAGCTTCCACTCGTTTCATCCACTCAGTTATCTCTGGTTGGTTCTTCAGCAAACCTTTGCCAGATGGGCATGAGAGCGGTTGTATTAACTAAAAAGGAACGTCAGCCGTCAAATCAATTGAATAAAACAAATGTTAAAGGATGTGTCAATTCAAAAGACATTTATTTTCGTCCATAAATAAAACAACAACAATGAAAGAGAGAGCACAAAGTACGATGCGAATAAATATATAAAAACAATTTATAGATAAAATGTGGGCCTAGTACAGAATTTTTAAAAATTAAAATAATTAAGTGAGTGAGTTGTAATGAAATTATTTTTGTAAAATTTTAAAACTACAATTTATTAGGCCTGTGTACATAATTCGTGCCACATTCCAACAAAGCAGCCACCACCTCTTTCTTCTTTATTACTGTGCTGCAGTGGTGGCGCCAGAGGGGGGCTGCGGGGGCTATAGCCCCCCGTCGGGGAAGCATAGCCACCCACCCCCCGTCGGGAAAGACGAGTAAATTTTGTCGGGGAATAAACAAATTAAAAAAAATATTTACTTTCATTAAACTATTTTTGTTAACTTTTCATCACAATAATAATAATAATATTATTAATAATAATAATAATAATAATAATAATAATAATAATAACATATCTAAGTAATTTATTTTACATTCTAGGCTATCATGGCTACCGTTTAATTAAATCGTTATTGGTTTGTATATGCTAACATTCTATTGTTATATTAAACGTGTATGTTAAAATTGTTTATCATTTCTAATAATAATAATAATAGGCCTTATAATAATAATAATAATAATAGGCCTTATAATAATAATAATAATAATAAAAATAATAATAATAATAATAATAATAATAATAATAATTAATAATAATAATAATAATAATAAAAATAATAATAATAATAATAATAGTAATAATAATAATAATAATAATAATAATAATAATAATAATAATAATAGTTCAATGAGACTTATTAAAAATAATTTGCGTTCTGTTATGACAAACAAATAGCCTCATTAAATAGCCTCATGATGCTCGGAATACATCGTGATAGGGGAAGAACCTCGACCTTGACAGCGTGGTTGGCAGATTTCATGCAAAATTTCCAAAATGTAGAATTTCACTTTCCAGAATGAGGATTTGAAAATAAATTAGATGGTTACATTGCATACTCTTTGTTTGTTTCTTTTTTTTTTTTTTTATTTTCAAAAAACATGAAACCCATTTCCCTGTAACTTATTTTTGTTTAGTTTTTTGGCAGTAATATGATTTTTGTTTCTTGTTTTATTCAAAATGTTTTGGTTTTGGAAGCTGATTCGACATTACAAATCATAGCCTACATGAAGTCATATTATAGTAGCTCGATGCCTATCAAATAAGTAATAAAAATAATTCGTCAAATATCCGTGGTTTCCAGGGGGCTTCGCCTCTGCACCCCCACCGGGGGCCCTAGGCGGCCCCCGGCCCCCAGTCAAGTGAGACTCGATTCCCTCCACTAGGCCCCCACCCCCGTCGGGGCCTTTAGCCCCACCGTCGGGCAGGTCGTGGCGCCATCACTGCTGTGCTACCGCCATTCACTATATTCCCCAACAATGACGATGAAAAAAAACAGAAGCACCGCCATTCACTATATATTCCCCAACAATGACGATGAAAAAAAGAAGAAGCAAGCCAACGAGCATTCTAATTATGAAATACTTAACAATTTCACTCACAAAAGACAGCAGTTTGAAATACGACGGGTAACAGTGAAGGAGTAGTAACAGGACGACATGGGGTGAGGTAACAACATTTTACAAGAGGAGTTGGCAGCAAAAGTGATAAATTTACCTACACAGTATATTTATTATTAAAATTGTGTTCATCACAAGACATCACTGTGTGTGTCATGTGGTGTTACTCAGACCATTTTTGTGATGAAATTGAGTACCATAGTATATTATATAATACATACCTCGCATATTGCGAACAAGTCAGCAATTGATATTTCCTCTCCACACAAGAACTTCTGTCCCTTTAAGAAGATCTTGTTCATTTTCCCAATAGTTTCCTCGGCAGTCTTGACGTACTTGTCGACGGCCTCTTGATCTTTCTTACCAGTAGACCTTGGAGTAAACACCTGCAAGAATGACAAAGGTGACTAAATGTACATTCATTTCTACACTTAGCCTATTTGGAGTTTTAACCAATTTCATTACTGAAGGGGGCTAATATATGTCTTATATTTCTTACATTTCTACAATTTAATGTATGTATTTTTGTGTTACGTTGCTGTTTATATATATTACCGGTATCTATTTACGGAGGGAGTTGCAGTGGAGTTGAATAGCTTGGTGGTTAAGATGCTTGCCTTCCAATCCCAGGGTCCTGGGTTCAATTCCTGCCAGTTGCAGGATTTTTTCTCACGACATAAACAACTCCACTCCCTAAATCTCATAT